CTGTTGCCACCAAATACCAAAGTTCGAATTAAACTTATTCGAGCTAGACCTAATTTTTACATGTTATCTGATAATCCAAATGTCAGTCTGAAAATAGTTGATTGTTCGTTGTTTACTAGATTTTAGTTGCTGAACCTAATCATCAATACTTGCAATGGAATCTGGAAAGAGAACCTGCTCAATACAATTACATGGAAACTATAGCAAGAACTTTTATCATTCCATCTCGTCAAAACCAATTCATACAAGAAAATATATTCAATAACGCTCCAATAAGAAGAGTAGCTGTTGCAATGAATACAAATTCAGCTGTTGCAGGTTCTTTTCATGAAAATCCTTTCAACTATCAGCAATTTCAATTAAGAGAACTTAGAATTATTTGGGGTGGAAGAGCAATTGTTTCATTAGATACAACTTCTCCTTGTCCACCTTATGTTACAACAATGAAAGCAATGCAGTTTAACGAAGATTTCCCAGCTCTTCCTATGGAAAATTTTCAAAATCACTATATTCTAGTTTTTGACTTGACTTCACTACAGGATGCTGCTGAACAGTTGCATTATCCAGAACTTAGTGGAGAAAGCTTGAGATTAGAAATGTTTTTTCAGTTTCCCTTGGAGCAAGTAACGGAAGTGATAGTCTTGGGAGAAAGACTATCAAATGTTCAAATTGACAAATTTGGAACAGTCGCTAAAAATGTTTAGTTTTTTTGAGTTTTCAGGTTCCTACAAAAATATTGTAGCTTTTTTGGAACTTTTCATTGTGGTTGTCTCTGTTCTATATATTTGTTTTTCTTCAGACCTAAATCTCCAGAAAAAGCAGCTAATGAATGCTGTTTAATTGAAAACCCAAGACATTTCTTCAACCTAGACTGTAAATCAGTGTTCAACAAATTTTGTCCAGTTCGCTAGTTTTGTGTATGGGACTTTGTTGATTCAGTACCTAAATGCGAGTAAGTCATTAACTTTAGAATTTTCCATCCTAAATTACAATATCAACATTTCTATTTCTTTGTTTTAGATGTAAATCAGCTAACGTTTGCGAAAATGGATAATTTTTTACTTCTGCAAATTATTGAAAGAATTCCTGAACTCAGGTTCAAGCACATGGGATTTTACCCCTCTGATAAAGTACCTCAACTAACAAAATACTCTTTTGCAATTGTTAACTCAGCTCCAAGCAATGATAGAGGGGAGCACTGGATCATGATGGCTCGATTGGATAAAACTTACTATTTTGCTGATTCTTTGGGTCGGAAAAGAACAACTTATTCCTTTCTAACAAAAAAGTATCGGCGAATGGTTCCTCGAAAGCTACAAAAAACTGAAATTTTGTGTGGATTTTACGCAATTTATTCAGCATTTCTTCTTTTTAAATTCTACCAGACAAACTTGAATAATCTTCATGATGTGCATGTTTTGAATTTTATAAGTAATTTTATGTAAGTTTGTAGTTTTTTCATTTGTAAGTGTAAATTATGGCAGTAAGTTTTTTATACGATACAGTGATTTATATATTTTCATTGTAATTTAATTTTTTTCTCTCAAAAAATTTGATTTTTTTTGAAGTCTCTGTAGGTTTCAGCATTGTTTCAATTAGATAGAAAGTAAAATTATCGTTTCAAATAGATAGAAAGTAAGATTATTTAATAAATTAGGTCAAATAATAGCTAACCTTATCGTGTTTTGAAGTTTTTTTGAAAATTTTTTCCTAAAAGTTCCAAGTTTTTACCCAAAAACTCTTACCATTGACTGACCATGTACCAAAAAACTAATTAAAAGTCCTTCATTGCACAATCTACACGTAATTAACCTTCGATATTTACAAGTTAGTTAACACGCGCCAATATTTTTGCGAAAAAACTAGACAAAAACCAAAACAATTACATTTTTCTTTCTCTTACCATCACACTGAAACCTTACCGTCGGTATTCCCTATCTTAATACATTGTAGACTCTATACCCAATCTTAATACATAGCTGGCGGACCGGATGCTCTATTGCCTATTTTAATACATGGGGGTCCGCCACCTCCCCCCCCTCCCCCCACTTCAGCTCCAACATCTACTACTTGTATATAAAAGCTTTACATACAGAGCTAAGTGATAATATACAAATATGTCATTCTACTGATCCATCGGAATCCTTTAACAGTTTTTCTGCGGCTTTCAACAAAATAAAAACATACTTTGCACCCATGAGAATAAACAGAAAACCTGAGTTCCAAAAACCAAAGTGGTTCAACATTACGTTAAAAACTTTACGCACCAAAAGAAATAGAGCCCACTGTTTATGGAAAAGTAATCCAATAAATCAGATATTATTAGAAAATTTTAAAAACTTAAGATCTAAGTTAGAAAAAGAAATTAAATCGTCGAAAAGAAAATACTATAATAAGAAATTTATAGCATGTATAGGAGACTCAAGACAAACATATAAACTACTCAATGATTTAAGTGGAAAAAAAACTAAAGATGCAAATGTTCCAGTGCTTGAATCCTGTCTGCAGCACAAGTAAGCTCCGTCAACATTTGATATTGCTGAGAGATTTAATAATTTCCTCTCAGCTATAGGCACAGAGCTTAAGAAAAAATTAGATTACTTACCATTGCCATCTCTTAATCAGGCTGAGCAGTCGGTTTTTCTATATCCTGTTACAGATGTGAAGTGCAAAAAATCATCGATAATCTTGATAATAAATCTTCATTGGGAGACGACAATAAAAACAACATATTAGTTAAATTATCGGCACCAGCAACCATTCCTTATTTAGCTTCTTTAATTAACAACTTCTTTATACAGGGCATTTTTCCAGATAGATTAAAAAGAGCGAAAGTTATCCCTATGCATAAAAGTGGATCAAGAGTTGTAGAAAACAATTACAGACCAATATCTCTCCTAATAGTGTGGAGTAAAATCTTTGAGAGAGCGATGTACACAAGAACTTATAATTATCTAGAAAAATTCTCACTAATTTATTGTAGGCAGTTTGGTTTTCGATCAAAACACAGTACTGTCGATGCACTAGTTGATTTTACTGAAACAATGCGTTCCCATGGCAATAAAAGCATAATTAGTTTCTTTTTCGATCTGAAAAAGCCTTCGACACAATAGAACATAATATTCTGTTACAAAAACTCGAATCATACGGTATCAGAGGAAATGCGCATAAATGGTTTAGATCATATCTAAATGAAAGAATTCAACGTGTAGAAATTAAGGGATTTTCTTCAAACTGGTCGACTATTAAATGTGGTGTCCCTCAAGGATCTATTTTAGGTCCGTTACTATTTCTTATATATATTAATGACCTACCTCATGCATGCAATTCAACAGAAATTGTCCTTTTTGCCGATGATACAAATGTCACAGCAATTGGTCAAATAAATCTTCGGGTTGAAGAGGACATTATCAAACTGAACTACTGGCTTAATGCAAATAAATTGATTATAAATATGGGTAAAACGTTGCAAATGAATTTAAAGACTTCCAATTCAATGACCTTTCAATTAAATAACTGTAACATTAAGAAAGAACCCGTGATTAAATATCTGGGTGTATACATTGACTCCAAATTATCGTTCGTTTCGCATGTAGACAATGTAAAAATGCGACTAGCCAAGCAATCGGGCATTATTTCCAAGCTACGCTATTGCGCACCTAGGCATCAGCTCTTAGAGTACTATCGTAGTAACATCACAACAACAATCCAATATGGTATTCTGGTCTACGGTTGTTGCAGCTACTCATCTTTGCTGCCGATTTTTATGCTTCAGAAAAAGATTCTAAAATTAATATTTTTTTCAGAAATCGTAGGAACCACTCCGAAGACTTTTTCAGTAAACATCAAATACTAACAGTCCATGAGCTCCATGTCTATGAATTACTGAAATTCGTGCTGCGATCGATTAATAAACTTCATAGCGAAAGTTTTTTGAATAATTTATTTGAATTTGAAAATCCATTACGCGAAACCCGTAGGGGAAAACTAAACATGCTTAAAGAAACATTTAGGAAAAGACTATTCGAAAAAAACTCAGTGGCGTATCGGGGATCTAGGCTTTATTTATTCTCAGAACAAGGGGTTTACTTCTAAATGATATCGAAAATGCGAAAATTGAAAAAGTTAAAAGTTAATATCATGAATTCAAAAATGGATATCTATTAAATAACAACGAGCTGACATCTTTAGTATTTAATTTTTAAAATGTTTAATTACGAATACCTTGGGTAAATGCTGCAAGACCACCAACTATATATTTTGATTCTTCACGAAAAAAATGATGCTCTGGAGCCTTTTAGTTCAGGAGATATGACAATTTTTGTAATTTTTTGAATTTTTTCTTAGAAAATTTTTAGAAAATTAAAAACAAAAATGTTTTGATATTCATGGTTGAGAGACAGGTCATAGGTATAATTCACTAGAGATCACACGCACACGCCATTAAAATGCAGATAATATGGCCTTTTTATGTTCGCAATTTCTCTTTCTTTTCTTTCACTCTTTTTTCAAATTTATTTTTCTTCCATAATGCTGTTTACTATTGATGTTATACTAAGTGAAGCTGTTGATAGACCGCATGGTCTCGTTTGCTGTACCTCTCGATTGTATATAAATGAAAAATTACTTTAATTTTGTCAATGTATTTACCAATCGAGAAAATAAATTCTTTCTTTCTTTCTTTTTTTCAAATAAATGTGTCAAATTATTCGGAACACAGCTGAGGTCAATTTTGATTGTATTTTTTTTTGAAAACTGAAAGTGATAGAATATAGATATTTCTCCCCGCAAAAATTTTTACTTTGATAATCTTGATAAATTTTTTTTTTGAGGGAGTCTTATTTAGCGTGCAAAATACTATTGAATGGCCAATACAAAAGCTTATTATAAAATAGCTAGCTACTGTTGCTGTTTTTTATATCAAGCCAACGTTTCATTAAGGTTTTACAGATGAAAAACAGAATCGCGGTACCTTTTGTAATTAATATCTTCTTTTCCAGGTTGCCCCGACATGATTTCTCGATATGAGTTGCTTTTTCGTGGAGTCGATGCCACGCAATTGTCACATCTTCCCATTGAAGGCTACGGGCCTGTCGGCTTCAAGAGCAGTTTAATAAAACTGACATGCGCCCAGAATAAACAATGGACTAGTCCAGAAAACATAAATTACCAAATCGCTGACCAAATTTCAGAAGTAGAGGAGGTTCCAGCTGGCGTACAAGATTCCTATAAACGAAGAACGTATAACACTCACCATGATTTCAGAGCCCAATTGCTACAAAATTCAGCAATTGAAAGACAAAATGGGTTGTTTGCCAACAACACTGAGTATCAAAAACAAATGAACAACATTTTAAATAAGAGTCAAACTGCTGCAGAAGTTAGCGCGAGTTTTTCAGTTTTGCGAGTTTCTTTGCAGAATGAATCAATATTAGAAATGAAACCGGAAGTTAATGCTGAAGTATTGGATCTTCCAAACCGTTTTGAAGACAGTCCTGAGGATTATTTTGACTTCATTTCTAAACATGGAACTCACTTTTGCTCTGTGGGAGAATTCGGAGGAACGGTAAAACAAGTCTCTTCAACAGAAGTGTCGTTCTATCGGACAAATTCAGTTGAAAATGCAGCTGAGGGAAATTTCAACTACACACTGAATTCTCTTGCAGTGAATGTTGACAGTTTTACGTTCGACGAGGATTTCGTTGCTCAATCCTCGCAGTGATAACCAGTTATTACGGTGGCAATGAGTATTTGCTCACAACTACAGGAAATGCCGAGTTATGGTACCCCACCATCACACCTCAACCGTGGCTGTTGAATTGCAAACTTGTCCCTATCAGCCATATCATGAAGCACAGTGGTAAACAAACATCTATGGATCTAGCAGTGCAGGCCTACCTGAACAAAGCCTATTTAGCAGAAGCAGTTGAGACTTTGAATGGACTTCTGAACGACTACCCTGAAGACAAGAGTCAAATTACAGACCTCATTGCCCACGCTAATGAAATGAAATCAGCTGCAGTTCCAGTACACGCTTCTGTGACGGAATTAAGTTCACGTGTTAGTCCCGGAAACTGGTGGCAGAATGTACGTTTATGTTTCCGCTCAACTGACTGTGCGAATAATGGAAACCCACTTTGCACCGAACCAAATGCATTCACTTCGGTATACACTGATATAAATAACGAAGTTGGCCGCGAATGTTCTATGAGCTGGGGTATAATGTCACCGCCTACTGATCACGACGAATGGTTCAGTTCGGTCGAAATCTGCTTTAGATACTCTGATTTCGATACTCAGACGTGGTACTATCAAAGGGATTGTAAGCCAAACACAACTGTAGAGTGCATTTCAGTGAACAGATACATGAATGATATCATAGATCGCAGATACAAGTGGTGTCTCTCCTGGATGTTGAAGGTACCATCTACTTCTCCACCTTGGATGCTTCGGAGCAAGTTGTGTTTGAGACACAAAAGTCAGTCTAGCTATTGTTCTTCTCTGGCAGATCGGAAAATTAACGGTGTTTTGTGTGCCTTCGCCAATGAATGGAGTGCAGAGTACTTGGATTATGCAACGACTCATTCAAGAAACTGTGAGATGCAATGGGGCATCTTCGAGCAACTTGAGCACGAACCAATTAATTTCACAATTAATATCTAAGAAGAACTCAAATATATACATCTTATTTTCAAACTAACCAACTGCTATATTTTACTGATCACATTATGAAACATAAACTAAAAATCTGAAATGTGAGAATGTACAGCGCGGTTACCTTTGATTGTTTGTGGATGAAAATCTAAAGCTCTAAAAAATTAGTTGATTTGGCAATGAAAATCAAAACCTTTTACAAAATCACTTAGATTTGAAGTTCAAAACAATATGTGACAATATTAAAAAACTTCATACAACGTCAAATTGATATTTTTTTGTTTCAACTGCTTCCCTTAGTTTGAAGGATTTGACACCTAGCTAGTGTTATTGAATAGCTTGATTTTGTCTATCACACTGAAAGATTGTAAGGGTCAAAGTTGAAATCATATTGAAACTACTTCAGCCGCGATTCGAATTGTTTCAAGGCAAATTGTCAACTTGTCGAGAAGTTTTGCTCTAAAAAATCATTTTTCTGAGTATATAAGACAAATTAATTAGAAGCTAGCCTCCAAAAAGATGCTTTTATTAAATTCACTCAGCAGTTTTCAGGTAATGCAATTGAATTTTTAGAAAAAAAACCTACATGAAAAAAGAAAAAATTTGGAGTTTTGTTTCCATGATTTGAAGAAATTGTTTCTAAGTTAATTTCTTAACCGGCGTAGTCGGAGGAGTCAACAACAGTATCCGGCTATCCGGTTTTCATAGGAGATTTAATCTGGCGTTTCTTTGTAAATTTATTTTAAATAATTGAAATCACTTGAAAACTGATTACTTGATAGTTGAAATTACTGAGATCGATGATGAAGAATGTAAATAAAACCTAATGCATCTACTGTTTTCTCAAACCATTTTGACAAACTGCTTTAAGAAGTTAAACAAGACTCTTAGTACTAGCGCAAGGCCATGAAGTCTCCAGTTCAGTTTCAGGTGCTCAGTTGACTTTTTTTTGAAGTTTTTATTAAAAGAAACTGAATTCTTTGTAGTTCCACAAGTAGAACACAGTTTGCATCATATAGCGTAGCCCAAATTATTTTGGAATGGTTTGTGAGCCAGGTTCAATTTGCTGCATTTCTTACGCGTCATCAGAAAAACGCCCGTACCAAGGTTCAGAATTCACAATCACTTTCGACCAAAATCAGAAACCTAAAAAATATGATTTTTTATTTTAAAATCTTGTTTGTGCAAACTCTTTACATTCGACTTACCGAACACTTAATTTTGTCTAACTGAACAATCGACCAAATAGACAAGTTTCAAAGTCCCATAATTCCAGTTACAAGCAATCGTAAGTAAGTTATCTTTTGTTTGTGCGAATTTTGTTTTAGGTCAAATTAACGATATATATTAGTGGTAAAAAAAAACTTGGATGTAAAAAAGAAGTCAAAAACAATTTAGTGAAAAAAAAACTTGGAAAATGAATACAAAACATATCAAAAGACTGCAAAACTTTGATTCAAATGTTTCTTGGCTACAAACATTAATCAAATTTACCAACATAAGTTCCCAGATGTGACAAGGTTATTCTTAGTTACGTGGAATTTATCTTAGTCACCGAAAAAAAGTGGGAAAAAGAAACTTTTTTGCAATGATTGAATTTATCAATTTGTCTTCAGTGCTATAACTAATTTTCAGCCCCAGAGATAAAATTCTCAATCGTTGAGTCACGCGTCTTTTGGAAAAAAATAGCCTCCCTCGACACATTTTGGCATTTTTTTCGACGCGAAATAGTTCGTGGCTTACAAGCTGACTTTTTCGCCCAGGAATTCAAACACAGAAAATGGTGTTCGGACATAAGTTTTTAGATGAAAACAACAAATAGGAACTCGAGAAAATGCACTTTTGAGACATGTAAAAATTTACTAAATCTAGTATGAAAAATATTTTAAAAGGGCAGTACCGACTTCTTTGGACAATAATGAATTGTATTGGGCCAATTTTAAATATGGTGCTGTAAGGGAAAAAATAGTTAAAACATACAAAACTGGCAGCTTCATATCTGCGAAGCTGCTATTTCATCAAAAAAAAATTCTTGTCGAGTTATATTTAAATATATTCATTACCATTTATGTTGCGCGGTTTACGTTGTCCATTCATCAAAAATTTTCAGTTTTAAAAGAGATATGATTTTTTTCTCAGCGGCAGAAACATGATCTTCTCTGCGGTAACAATTGCAATTGGATGCACTCACTGCAAAATGATCGAAAATAATTCATATACTTTGCAACTTGTATCAAGATACTGATGATTTGGTCTACCATCGATCCACACCTTACAATGTCTAGAATATGAAATAAACCAATATAATTGCCCTGCTTCAGCTAGTTGATTCTGCCTTTTGTTTAGTACTAGATGGAACCTTTTTTTTTTTATAAAAACGGTCCTTGCTGAAACAATCTGTTATCCTGAGGATGTGTGTTCATGAGTGCGAAGAACAAAGACCCACGGAATTTTAAAATTAATGAGAAAAAACCTTAATCAGATCATATAATAAAACAAAGATAGCGGCTTACTGAGCAAAATGCACAGAATGATCCGACCATAGTCTAATGAAAACAACAAAGTTTTTTCAAAATATTGTCATTTTTTTTCTCGGCTGGGTGTGAAAAAAAGCTGAGCAAAAATCTGGTAATTAGGTATATTCTACAGTCATAGTAAAAGAAGCAAAATGAAAAACAGTGTTTTTTTTAGAAAATCTACTTGAAAATGAAAAAAAAATCATTTTTTTTTTAATTTTGCAGTTTTTTGAATTCATGAAAAAATTGATTTCAAAAAGGTGCTAAAAAACTCAATGTAAACTAAGGCTATTCAAGTAAAACTAAGCTTTTAGGTTTTAAATTAAGCTATACTAAGCTTTTAAGCAGTAAAAACAAGACTGCTCGCTCGCCTTATTCGCTTGAAGTAAGACGAGCATCAAAAAATTTCAAACCGGTTTTTCTCGACAAGAAAAACTAGTCGCAGCATGGTCAAAACATAAAGACTCCTGATTTACTTCCGTCAAAAACGCAGCATGTATCATCCTAAATGAATCATTGACTAAGCTAGCAACAGAATTTTGGTTGCTTTTCTGATAGTTGTTGAGTTTTCTGCGAAAAGCGCAAATTAAGCATCAAAAAACTTCAAAAGCTTGTTCTTGCAATTCGAAAAGCGAATTTTGACAATCAGAAGAAACAATTATTTTACTGGTTGTTTTCAACTCCGAATAAAGTTTTCTCTGATTTGGTATTTTAACTGAAAATTTTTCCGAAGCAATACAGTTTCCGCAGCAACAAAATAAAAAAATCCATCCAAAAGAAGTTTCATAATTCGCCATAAACACCCATTAATTAAACTAAATCAGTAAACATTTACACTTTTCTTTGAGTTAATTGGTCCAAAAACTGCCAAACAGAATCAAAGGGAGAACTGGGATAAAGCTTTAGATTATCTCAAAGTCATTCAATTTGTTCGAAACCTGATCTAAAGTCTTTGGAGCTGGAATTTTTCCTTTTCGTTCGGAAACATCTCTTCGGGAAGCCAATCATAGAAGTTCTTGAGAAAACGGGTAGTTTGATATATTTTCGAGTATTTTGATATAATAGAATAAATAAATCGGTTATAAAGATAAAATTTCTAGAAATGATGACATCCGTTG